CAGATGCCTCGCTGCCCGAGTCCACCCGCTGCCAGCAGAAGACCTGATACACCAGCAGTGGACATGTGCTTGCCGTCAGCCGCCCGAAGGGACGGCATTCGACTTGCGCCCGCAGGTTCACGGGGAGCACGAGGACTGGCCATGTTTCTGGCACCGAGGACTTGTTCCAGTGATGCGGGTTTACCCACATGTGGACACATTACCAGAGCGGGATTTCCAGGCGGAGGGAGATATCGAGGAAGGAGTCCGCTTCGAGCAGCCCCCAGGACCGCTTGTAGGAGCTGATGGGGGTGGAGGAGATCATTCGGGTGATGTGAGGCTCCGTAGATGTGGATGGGGTTTCGCAGTCTGGTTTAACGGAGGTGTACAGGGGACCGCCTGGGGACCGATCCTGGGAAGGCGCCAGACGGCGCCCCTTGCCGAGCTCGAAGGCCGAACCCAGGCCCTGCGTCAAACCTCAGGGCCTGAGGTGTTTGTGGTCGGTGGTGCCTGCGTTTTAAAGGCGGTCCAGGGTGGCCCAGGTGATGCCCCTCCCCATCCACGCTGCAGCGCGGGCCCGTCTCTGGCACGAGTTCCACCAGAGGCTTGGAGAGGCCACCCTTCGTAAGATCAAGAGTCACCTCACTGAGGCTGGCATCGGCCGCTCAGCGGGGGAAGCTGAGTTTAGAGCGAATGAAGCGGCCGATCTGGCGGCCAAGCGCGGAGCAACCTTAGCCAGTCTTCCCCTGGACGTTTTGACCGAGGTTGCTCGGGTTGACGATTTGGCCTCCCGCGTCCTGGACCACTTGCTTGTTGTTGGCCTCGAGGAGGCCAAAGCTCGGGACAAGGATGTTCAGGCGCCAGGGGGCTTAACACCTGGAGATCGAATTGTTGCTAAGCGGGCTCGACAAGATGAGAGGATTGCCGCTCGCCTGAACGCCCGCGAAGCCACAGCCCACCAAGTTTCAGCCCGTGTGAATGGAGTTCTCTTCTGCCAGAGGTGCCTCACGGCACCCACCAGAGCTCTCGCGTTGAATTCATGAGTGAGATCTCCTTGTACGGGCTTTCCCCACCAGATCCACGAGTCCCACAAGATTCGGTGCCTGCGCGGGCTCTGGTGGCGTGAAGTGCGTGGTTTTCCGGGGCACCTGCGAGTCCATAACTTGGGGGATGTTTGCCAGCGCCCCACGGACGCTGGCAAAAGGGCTATCGCCAAGGTATCTGAGGGGGCTCCTTCCTCCCAACCGGATGCATTGGCCAGACGAGCCAAGTGCAGGAGCCCCGGGACCAGAAGATTCAAAAAAATATCCCAAGGCCCCTGGTCGCAATGAACCAGACCCTGGCCCAGCGCAAGCTGTTCCCAAGGAGGAGGACGACGACGAGCACGACGAGGACACGGAGGAAGAGAAGGAGGAGGGTGTGTAGGAGACGAAGGAAGAGGAGAATGGATGGAGGGTGCGGGGGAGGAACAGGAGGAGGTGGAGGATGATTGGGTAGGGGAGAGGAGGACGAGGAGGAGGACATGCTGCTCCCCATGCCATGTGTATTGTGTTAACTGCTGCGTGTGCCAATCACATCAGACTAGCGGGTAGCGGTTGCTGGTATATGTTGGTTGTGATGTAAGCGCCATGCGATGTGTAAGTTGATACAGTCATTGCGCAGATTGAGTCTTAGAATACTTCCAGGCAGTGCTGTCACGGACAAGGTCTTGATGCGGTTGCTAAGCAATGGGCTTGCATTCGCAGGCTTTCGTTCGGAGGAAGCCGTGCCCGCTTCATGCCAACTCCCTGCGTTGACTGACATTTCCAGGTGTTCGCCCAGAGGGCGGTGGCGCGCGCCGCGTGTTTGATACGGATTGCACCGCATCGAGCGCACCACACAAAGTGCAACCTATAGATTCCAGCTCCTTTATACGAAGCAGAATATACCCCTCCCCCCAGGCTGGCCGGGGTCCCCCCCTCGCCGCGTATTAGGATGTCCGATGTACGATGCATGCTCGTAAAATCAAGCGCTAGCAAGCCAGCCAGGCCTGCATCGACCCTCACGCACTTTTGTAAAAAGTTATCATGCGGCACGCCCGCGTTGACCTATAAAGCGTTTTCTTTTCCCAGAATAGAACCCTTCATGCAATTACGATGTGGGGTGCATGCTCGCGTTACGCGCGCGTGTCAAAAGTATTCAACAACCATTGGTATCCTTATGATTTCTAAACGCATGCATAGACATATGTATACATGTAAGTACACAAATGCACTCAAAACAAAGCAACATAGTAAAAGCTTGCACGTCAACAGAAAATGCAATGATTATTCCCGCGCGCGCGCTCGCTGAAGTCATAGACCAACAGTTGCCGTTCAGCAGTTTTGCAATCAGACCATGCGGGCCAGACACGCGCGCCTCCGCGCGCGCGCGTCGGAAGTTGTTTACAGTTTTGCTTTCCCGCACAAGTTCAACAAAGAGGTGTTCAACGCGCACGTGCAAAACCAATCGATGGCTGCGCAGTCGAAAATATTGCAGAAGGTCTGGATATTTCCGCACGCTTAGATTATCATCGTCCGTATCAGGACCATCGTTGTCAGCATGGTCAGCGCCAAGGTTGTCTTCGTAATGTCATCAGCAGCCTGACGTCCCCATCGCCACCCGCACCATCGTGATTGTGGGTATCTCCTCCCCCGTCAAATGCTTGCGCGCGCGCACTTCATTATCATCCTCACCAGCACCGCCGTCGTCACCATCAACCCCATTATCATCGCCACCGTCGTTGTCGACATCGCCCCCACTGCCGTCATGAGCACCAGCATTGTCATCACCGTTGTCGCCGCCCAGCTGACTGTTGCCAACAAGTTGTGGGCGGGCGGGTGACATGCGTGCACGAGTATTGGAGAGAATCACGCCCAGGTGCGGTCAAACCTAATAATAGCACCTCAAAGGTTGTGCCGTATGTACTTCACCGCAGGGTGCACCACACATATTGCACCGCATGTATCGCCCCTCTGAGCTTGCACATTATTGGTCCCCCTTTCCTAGAAAGAATTATAATCTACCCCCCTTGCCGAGGACGGGCTCATTCCCTTTCCTCCGCCGCGCATGTGTGCCACATGGATTCTGCACGATTGCTCATCGATCCAATACCAGCACGCCAGCCAGCCCCCCTCCACATCCTTGTCAAAGAATAACAGCGGTGCGCATGCATTGGTCTAAGACGTGCCCTCTCAAACCAATTGTTGCAAACGACCACGATGGAATCAAACGAGCGCACTGCCGCGTGCCCATGTCAGAATCATTCAAACACAACCAGGTGCCCCAACAAGTTCAAAATGGGTTCGTCCACAACAGATGAAAAAAAGTTACTGCATCAGCGAAAATGATCTCCAGACGTCTGCGCGCGTACCCGCTGAACTTATGCTACTGAAGCTGCGTTGTTAGCGACTCTGTCAAATGAGACTATGCGCGTTGCACACGCGCGCATGCCGAAAACGATCAACAACCACCGCGCGCCCGCCAACATTTAAGTAATACTATTGCCGCCACACGCGCGCGTCTCCGCTCACGCACTTCGAAACATGTACGCAACCATTGGCTGCCGAATCAGTTCAGAACCCGGGTGCTCAAACACGTGCGAACATCAGGCGGTTGTCCAATCAAGATATGTGTTATGGATTTTTGTTTGTGCGTATCTTTTCATCGCCTTTATCAACACATTCGCGTTCAGCATCGTCAGCGTCATCACCTCAGTCATCATCATGGTCATGATCATCATCATCGCCATTGTCGTCGTCATCGCCGCCGTCATCCTCATCGTCACGTCGCCCAGTTGAGTTGTGCCCAGAAGTTTTGGGCGGGTGTAATTTTTGCACGAGTCTTGGAGGTGGTCAGTCGCGGTCGCGATCAATTTGAATCGCGCTACATACATAGCACCCCGTCAGTTGCATCACTACAGATGTAATTCCAATCGCAGCGTTACTACTACGGCGACTTACGACGATTGCCAAAATCCCACAGGAAACTACACAACACAAATTGCACCCCATATTTCACACTGGAGGCGTTGCACCCATCGGTAGCACGACACAGGCTACGCTTCGCTGGCTGCAAGGCATGTCCCGAACCCATTGATTTGCATTATTTCCATTGCGCCAGCTAACTTGCCACAACCAGCCCAGGATAAAGCGCACATCAAGAAAATAGGTCGCAATGTTCCGGGTGCACGTTTGCAAACATATATCCAAATGTGTGTGTTGTGAGTGATTCCGAGGTTTGTTTCATAATTGTGTTTACCGTGTACACGCATGAATCGTGTGTCTTAACACGTTGCATTTTTACATTGGTGTTCGATGATACCGCTTGTTAAACACATTTCGCGCTTCAAATATGTACAGCCCCTAGGGCATCGTTGATGTATGCCGAGTTGTTTGATGATGCGCCTGATCTGACATGATGCATCATGTAGGTTGAGGTGTCGGTGGCCTCAGCTGCAGCGTCTGACATTAGATTATGCATCATGTAGGTTGCGGTGTCGCTGGCCTCAGCTGCAGTTGTGCATGTTATGTTCTTGCGTGATGCACGGTCAGTGTTGAATTCGATGTTCTTGCTTTGGGCTTCGTTGAAGATTCGTTGGTGGAATAATGCTTGGCCTCGGCGATCTATAGATCGACAAGAACCATCCAGGACACGCATGGACCATGGAGACACCATCGATACCATTGAAGTTCTGGAACACTGTCGAGGCACTAAGGACGAACGTCGAGACGCTATCGAGACACAACCTCGAAAAACATTCGAAACAGCGCCATATCGTCTTTTCTATTCCCCTACTACCTCGTACTACCTCGTCTGTATGTATATATTTTTGTATACAAAAATACATACGTATGGCCTCTCCTCCGCCTCCGTGGGTGCCTCTTGCGCTCTAGCTGGCGCCAGCTTCGGCACCGGGGCTCCAGAGACTCAAGGCATCTTCAGCGCGCGGCATCGCAACCTCACCACCGCGCCCGCAAGCAAGCAGAAGCAGAGCCGCAGCCATGGGGATGGCATTTACCAAGCTCTTCGCCAAGCTGGTCGGCAAGCAGGAGATGCGCATCTTAATGGTGGGCCTCGATGCCGCTGGCAAGACCACCATCCTGTACAAGTTGAAGCTCGGCGAGGCGGGGCTGGAGTGAGGGGACCGCCCCTCCCCTCCCTTTCCCCTCCCTCTCGCAGTACCCATGCCCCATCTCCCTCCAAACCCCAGACGCCTTTTCCCATCTAATCGCACTCTTTCCCCACTTCTCTGTCGTCGACAAATTTCAGCTCGGCGAGGTTGTCACCACGATCCCGACGATCGGCTTCAACGTGGAAACTGTCGAGTACAAGAACATCAGTTTCGCCCTTAGTTTTTGAGATTCGGCTGGGAAATCGCCGACCGTGATTGCACGACAGCTTCTGTATGGTTGCAGGAGGGAGAGAGGGATCAGTAGAAGGAGGAAGAGGTGCAGGAGCAGCAGGAGCAGCAGGAGGAGGGGGAAGGAGGAGAGGAAAAAGGGAAAGATGTGGAGGAGGTGAAGCAGAAGTAGAAGGAGGATGGGGAGGAGGAGTTGAGAGCAGGTGATGAGGGCGAGGATGATTAGCAGGACGACGATGAAGACGACAGACAGGCAGGCAGACAGAAAGACAGGCAGGCAGACCTGAGACAAACAAGGGCATCAGATCGATTTCGCGCGGGAGGCCAAAGAACACGGAAAGACAAGTCATCGTGCGTCGATTGTATCTCGGCATTTTGCGAGTTTTGCATTGGGTGTGGTCTAAAAGTTGTCGGGGTTCAGGGGCTTGCAAGTTGACACCATCAACATGGGGGACCACCTTCAACGTGGGAAGGTAACACCAATTGTGTGGTGTCGTGGTGGTAGTGATGTCTGGACAGCAGCCACCAAGATCAGATTTCACAGCTTTCCTCGGAATATGCGTTCCTCGATCTTGGTAGTGTTTGTACATATGCATACAAATATACATACATACATACATACATACATACATACATACATACGTACGTACATACATACCTACATACACACATATGCATATACAAGTGTGTTGATGTGTGTATCTACCTATTGGATAAGAACCAGGGGGCGGGCGCGGGATGGGTCGCGGGTGGATCGCGGGCGGGTCGCGGGTGGGTCGCGAGGTGGCTCGCAGGTGGGTCACCTGCGGGTAGGTCGCGCCGCGCGTGGGTCGCGGGTGGGTCGCGCGGTCAGTTGCGGGTGGGTCGCGCGCGGGCCGCGTGTTGGTCGCGGGTGGGTCGCGGGTAGGTCCTTGGTGGGTCGCGGGGTGGATCGCTGGCGGGTCGCGCAGTGGATCGCGGACGGGTCGCGCGGTGGGTCGCGGGGTGGGGGTGTGGGTCGCGGGTGGGTCGCGGGTGTGTGGTGGGTGGAGCGCGGGTGGAGCGCGGGTGGGTCGCGGGCCGGGTCGCAGTTGGATCGTGGGCGGGACGGCGTCAACAAACAGCAAACATAAAACACAAGCAGCAACAACAACAAGAACCAGTTGAATATAGTTCGTTCTTGTTTGCTCGCGTGCCATTCAACACGTATATCCCAAACCTTCGATAATTCGCCCCCTTCGTCTTCGTTCGTACCCCCTTAGGGGCGTATCTTTCTTACCTGCAACGTATATTCCGTGCAGCCCATAAAGGCAGGGGAAGAGAGGACGGATGGAAGGAAGGGACAAGGGGCAGGCGGGTTGCTGAAGCGTGCGTCCTGCACAAATCGCGAGGAAATCTCTAGCGACATCGCGATTCCCCCAGGTAATTCGTGAGGAAATCCACAGCGAGAGCGTGATTCCTGAGTGTCGAGGGCGCGGCGTTTGAACAGATTGCGAGGAGGTCCCACGCGAGAGCGCCATTTCTGCATGAATTATGAGGAAGGCCCGCGCGAGAGCGCGATTTGGTAATAAATGGTGAGGAAGTATCAGGCGGGAGCCGCCGCTGTTGTTGCAAACAGGGCGCCATGAGCACAGTTTGGTGACATGTCCTGCGCGAGCCCCTGGAGAAGCGTTTGAATTGAAAAATCAACGATTACGGGAGAGGGGGGATCAACAACAATTTTCCGTTAGAGATGGGAGTTCAACAACAACAAGAATAGCAACAGCAGCCACAATTCTCACCACGGAAGCCCGCTTCAGCCACGCACTCAGGGACAGTGAATGACCGCTCGGCCCCCTCACTCTGATACATGTACATCTAGCATCCCACAGTGGCCTGCGGATAATAAGAGTGAAGGGGCGGGCGCGAGGTGGGTGGCGGGTGGATCACGGGCGCGTCGCGGGTGGGTCGCGGGGTGGGTCGCGGGTGGGTTGCGGGTGGGTCGCGTGTGGGTCACGGGTGGATCGCGTGTTGGTCGCGGGTGGGTCGTGTGTGGGTCGCGGGTGGGTCGCGGGTCGGTCGCTGGCAGGTCGCGCGGTGGGTCGCGGGGTGGGTCGCGGGTGGGTCGTGGGTGGGTCGCGGGTGGGTCGCGGTGGATTTGGGTGGGTCGCGCGCATAGGTCGTGGGTGGGTCGCGGGTGGGTCGCAGGCGGGTCGCGGGCGAGTCGCGCGTAGGTCGCGGGCGGGTCGCAGGATGGGTCGCGGGTGGGTCGCGGAGTGGGTCGCGGGTGGATCACGAGTAGGTCGCAGGTGGGTCGCAGGCGGGTCGCGGATTGGTCGCGGATGGGTCGGGTGGGTCGCGGGGTGGGTCGTGGGTGGGTCGCGGGCCTTGTCACGGGCTTGATCGCGGGCGAGACGACGACAATTAACAACAAACAATAGCAGCAGCAACAACAACAACAACGACAATATTCCTTATAAATCACGAGGACGTCCACAGCGAGAGCGTGACTCCTGAGCGTCGAGGGTGCGACGTTTGAACAAATTGCGATGAGGTTCCACGCGACAGCACGATTTCTGTGTGCATACATGTGTATTTTTGTGTGTATATATACACACATACACGTATCTATATGTACTGAGGACGTCCCGCGCGACAGCGCGATTTGATAATAAATTGTGATGACATATCGGGCGGGGCCGCTGTTGCTGTACATTGGTGGCCAGGGGGCCGTTTGGTGACACGCCGCGCTCCCTGGATAAAAAGACAGGGTGCGAGCCCCAGGAGGGACATCACAATAGGAATAATACACCTGATTACCAGAGAGGGGGGATTAACAATAATTATTCCTGAGAGGTGAGATTTCAACAACAACAGCAGCAACAACTGAAACGGGAACAGGAACACTAACCATCATGTCAAATTGCTCGCTCTTATCTGTTCGCGTGTCATTCAACTCGTATACCCCAAACCCTCCATACCAGTTCTTTGCGTCTTCGATCGTACCCCCACTAGGGGAATACCTGTCTGACTTGCAACGTGTATTGCATGCAGCCCTTGACGCAGGGGAAGAGAGAACGAACGGAAGGAACGGACAACGGGCAGGCGGGTTGCCGAAGCGTGCGTCCTGCATGAACCGCGGGGATGTCTCGAGCGATAGCGCGATTCCCAAGTGAACTGTGAGGAAATCCAGAGCGAGAGCGTGATTCCTGAGTGTCGAGGGCGCGGTGTTTGAATATATTGCGAGGAAGTCCCACGCGAGAGCGCGACTCTTGTAGACATTGTGAGGAACTCCCGCGCGCGAACACGATTTAGGAATATGTTGTGAGGAAGTATCAGGCAGGAGCCGCTGTTGTTGTAAACCCGGGACCAACAACGTAGTTTGGTGACATTTCGTGTTCCCTTGTAAGATACAGGGCGCAAGCCCCGCGAGAAGCACTTCGACTGAGTGAACAATGCAATGGTTACCGCGCAGGGGGGATCAACCAAAACAACAACAATCATGTTAAGATTGTTCGCTCCTATCTGCCCGCGTGCCATCCAAGACATATATCCCAGACCCTCGGTACCCGCCCTTTTCGTTTTCGACCGTACCCTCTTGGGGGTATATCTTCCTCACCTGCCACGCGCATGTAGCGCAGCCCCTAAAACAGGGGAAGAGAGGACGGGTGGAAGGGGGAAGGACACGGATGGAGCACGAGAGAAATTGGCAGGATGGGCGCAAGGAGCAGAAAACAAGTGGTAGAGCCAAACGGGCAGATCGGGTGGGCAGACCCATAGCGGGCGGGCCGGGGAAGCGGGACCAGGCGACCAGGTCGAGCAGGCGGCATGAATCGCCAGGAAGTCTCGAGCGACAGCGCGATTCCCAAGTAAACCGTGAGAAAGGCCAAGGCGAGAGCGTGATTCCTGAGCGCCGACGGCGCATCGTCTGAATAAATTGCGAGGAAGTCCCACGCGAGAGCGAGATTCCTACATTAATTGTGGGGGAGTCCCGCTCGAGAGCGCGATTTGGAAATAAATTGTGAGGATGCACCAGGCGGGAGCCGTTGTTGTTGTAACTCGGGGGCAGGGTGCGAGTCCCAGGAGGGGCACTTCAGTTGGAAAAATACATGCAATGTGCACCGGGCGGGGGGGTCAACAATATTCTTTCCTACAGCAGCAACAACAACAGCAGCAGCAGCAAGTGTTCGCTCTTATCTGCTCGCGCGTCATTCAACACGTATATCCCAAACCCTCGATACCCGCCCTCTCTTCGTTTTCCATCGTACCCCGTTAGGGGAATATCCGAACGTACATATTCCTTGCAGGCGCTAAGGCATGGGAAGAGAGGACAGATGTAAGGAAGGGACAACGGGCAGGCGGGTTGCTGAAGCGTGCGTTTTGCTTGAAGCGCGAGGAAGTCTCGAGCGATAGCGCGATGCCCAAATACATCGTGAGGAAATCCAGAGCGAGAGCGTGATTCCTGAGTGTCGAGGGCGCGGCGTTTAGACTAATTGGGCACAATGCCCACGCGACAGCTCGATTCTTCTATAGATTGTGAGCACGTCCCGCGCGAGAGCGCGATTTGGGAATAAATTGTGTGGGAACATCGGGCGGGAGCCGCTGTTGTTGTAAACTGGGGGCCAGGGGCCCTGTTTTGTGACATGTTGCTTTCCCTTGTATAAAACAGGGCGCTAGCCCTGCGAGAAGCACTTTTATTGAAAAATGATGGTTGCCGGATGGAGAGGACCAACAACAATTATTCTTTAGACATAAAAGTTCAACAATCCGCACCGCGGAAGCCCATTTCAGCCACGCACCCAGGGACAGTGAAAGACCGTTCGACCCCTTCTCGCTGATTATTACGTGAATGTATAATTATATATTAAAATGTGCATATATATATATATATAGACATCACATGCATATGCAAATATACATATCTACATATACTACATATATATATATATATATATACGTATACATGTACATATGCATACCGTACATATACACATGCATAAAAACTATATAAACGGTGTATATATGTGTATATATATGTGTAAAGCATCCCGCAGTTGCGGATAAGAGTGAGGGGGCGGGCGCAGGATGGGTCGCGGGTGGGGCATGGGCGAGTCGCGGGTCGGTCGCGGGTCGGTCGCGGGCGGGAAGACGACAGCCCCAGTGAGAAGCATTGTTGCCGACGTGCGTGCACCATCCCAGGCCAGACGTTTGTATTTCCACCGACCGCTCCAGAGTGTTGGTCCCCTAGTGTGACCAGGTCGCAATGGGTTGGTTGCGGTGCGAGTCGAAGAAGCGCCCGGAAGTCAGCTATCACCAGTCGAGAGATTCTAAGACATTGGCGAGGAGGAGGAGGAGGAGGAGGAAACAGGAGGAGATGTAAGATGAGAAGGGGGACGAGGGGAAGGAGGATCTAGGAGGAGTAGGGGAAGGAGGAGTAGGAGGAGACGGGGAGGACGAGCAAAGAGGACAATGTAGAAACATTGGTGGTGGATGGGAGGACGGCGGAGACGGAGGAGGAGCATAAGATTGAGAAGAAAGAAGAGGAGAGGGGGAGGAGGAGGAGGAGGAGGAGGAGGAGGAGGAGGAGGAGGAGGAGGAGAGGAGGAGGAGGAGGACGAGGAGGACGAGGAGGCGCGGTAGCAGGAGGACGAGGAGGAAGCTTGTGGATGCGGGGGGAGGATGGGTGGGAGGAGGGGGGGACGGAGGGGAAGGGCAGTAGGGGAGGATGAGGAGGAGAAGGAGCAGGGAGGAGGAGACGGATGATGAGGAAGATAGTAAAGATGAGGAAGAGGAGGAAGAGCGAGATGAGGAGGAAGAGGAGGAGGTGCAGTCAGGGGCCCTTCCCCCCTTCCATCTTTCACTTTCGCCAGAGCGGACCCAGCATGTCGCGTCACGTGTCATGATTGTGTGTGGTGTCCGCATGGGTTTCGCATATGTGTCCAAAAACGCTTGCTACTTGGATGGAGGCGGAGTGGTTTTAACTTCTAGCTAACGCCTTAGCGCCTGAACAGTCGCTGCACGAATGTATAACAGCGGGTCGGATGGAGGCGGGGGCGCATTCGAATTATTGTCGGTTTCGTGCTACGACAAATGGTCAAACGCTTGCAACCGCTCCACTGATGGAAGGCGACATGCTCCTATCTCTCGATGTTATCCCGTGTTGTGACAAGTTTGGACTTGGCAGCAGTTGCACCGATGAAGGGCTTTTGTGGGTGAGATCGGGATCTCGCTTCGAAACTCTCACATTGAGCGAGAAGAACACGAACATGTGCAAGAGGGGCCGTCTCCCGTTCAAAGCTGGTTCTCGCGATCACGCCTTACTTTCGACTACGTACACATTGGTAGCTCGTCAAGCTACAGGGATGCAGTGCGGTTCCTTCTCGAAACCGGGCTCTAGCACGCACGGCAGGCCACAGGGCGATTGCCTTTCAAGCTACCCCCCACCACAGTGCAAAGGAGGAGTGTGTGCAGGGATCTGTGCGCTGGGGGCTTGGAGCACGAGGGTGGAGTGCAGCATCGCCGATAAAACCCCTGGAGCGGTATCGTCCTCCTCCTCCTCTACTTCCCTATCTCCCCCCCCCCCCTCACTCGTCCTACCCATCCTCCTATCCGTTCCCATCTTTCTCGTTCCTTCCCTCCTCCTCTCCCCCTCCCCATCCCCCGCCCCCGCCCGCCTTGCGGTCAGCGCTTTTCCCCCAACTTCGGAGCGCCGAGGCTTCACCGTGTGGGACGTGGGCGGCCAGGACAAGAACCGCCCGCTGCTTGCACCACGTGCTGCGGCCTGAGAAGGTGGATTGAGCAGGAGGAGGAGAAGGAGGGGGGAGGAGGCTGAGGGAGAATGCCGAGGATGATGTTCGAGGAAACGCACCTATCGGCGAATGCGCGTTGGTTAGCGTCGGGCCCCGGTTCCTTATGTAGTTTGCGCGCACCGTCGCCATTTGCATGCCCCGATCCGCGGATCTAGCGCCCACGCGCCAGATTCACGGATGCGTAATCCATGTTAGGTTGTGTTTTCGAGGTGGAAGACGAGGGGGGACGCGAAGGAGGAGGGAGAAGGAGAGAGATGCAGAGATAGTGATGGAGACAATATATTCCCAAGGCAGTGATTGCACTAGCGGTTCTTCCTTTGGGTCTTGGCAGAACTGCATGGGTGTGTACGAGGTTTTCCCCGTTGCCGCCCGTGCCCGCGCGGCGCTGCTCGTAATGGCCGCTCGTAGTCTGTCCGGGGTGGCCTACCCAGAAGTCGCCACGTGGCCCGCAGTACCCGCTCGTAGTCGCGCTCGACGCCGCTGGTAGTGTGTGGGATTTGCAATAGGCAGTTGGATATATACATTTGTATATATATACACATACATACATTCATTCATTCATACATACACATTCCCCAGCCAGAGCTTGCCTCTGTAAGGACCCTAGCATTTTCATGTGGTCAGATGAGGTGTGTCACCAATTTCCGCGGCCCGCCTGGGTGCCCGGGTGCCCTTTTATAGCCATATAGCCCAATAGCCGTGTAGCCCTAGAGCCCTCTAGCCCAGTACCTTTATAGCCCTAGAGCCCTAGAGGCTTATCGAGATTTATATTTATATATGCAAGACTGCAGTGGCGCTGCGCGCCATGCACCTTGGTCCTTTGAGTTCCGCACGCAGGCGGAATGCGTGCGTGCGTACATGCGCGCATGCATGTATACACGCGCACGTGCATGCACGTTCCGTGTATATAAATACATCTGTACCTATATATATATATATATATATATGTCTAGGAGTATACAATATACGTACATTGTTGTATGTGTGTATACAGCGTACATATGTACAGATAAATGTATGTGTGTAAGGGTATGAACATGCATATGCAACTCGTACGTGCTTTGTCGGTGCACGCCCATATGTGTACATATATATATATATATATATATATACATATATATATAACTATGGGTTCGCATACTCATGCGTATCTCAGGCGGTAGTGGCCTGACCGGTTGCTCAGGGCATCTCGCAACTGAAAGGTGCGAGGGTCTCAGGCGAAGATGGCCAGATGACTATGGGACAATGTATCGCCGAGGTCAGTGTGCTAGGATGTCTCAAGCGAAAATGGCCTGAACACTTCCGCTCAGGACATACCGGAACTCAGAGTTGCGAGGATGTCTCAAGCGAAAACGGCCTGAACACCTCAGCTCAGGATAGACCAGAACTCAGTGACGCGAGGATGTCTCAAGCGAAAGTGGCGGAATACCATGGGGCAGGGCATCTCGGAACCCAGAGCTGCGAGAACGTTTCTAGCGAAAGTGGCCCGAACACCTCAGCTCAAGGAGCCCTGGAAGGTACAGTTGCGAGAAAGTCTCAAAGCGGAAGTGGCTGGACCACCTTGGGGCAGGGATTCTCCGAGGTCAGAGTTCGGAGGAGGTCTCAGGCCACAGTGGTCTGATTTCCTCAGCTCGGGGCACCTCGGAACCGAAAGTTGCGAGGATGGCTCTGGACCCGAACACCGGAGCTTAGGACATCCCCGGACGCAGAGTTGCGAGGGTGTCGCATGCGGAAGTGGCCGGACCACCTTGGGGTAGAGCACCTCCGAGGTCAGAGTTGCGAGGATGTCTTAGGCGCAACTGGCCCGAGCACTATGGGGCGGGGCATCTCCGAAGTCAGCCTTGCGAGGAAGTCTCAAGCGAAGAGTGGTCTGAACACCTCAGCTCAGGGAATCCCGAAATCCAGAGTTGCGAGAAGTTGCAGGCGAAAGTAGGCTAACCACCATGGTGCAGGGCACCTCCGAAGTCAGACTTGCGAGACTGTCTCAGGCGAAATTGGCCTGAACACCTAAGGCCAGGGCGTCTCGGACTCCAGAGTTGCGAGGATGTCTCAGGCGAAAATGGCGGGACCACTGCGAGGCAAAGCGTTTCCGAGGTGGGAGTTGTGAGCATACCCGGGCGAGGCGGATCTCACGACTCCCTCTTCCTCCTCCCCCTCCTCGTTTTCAAGCTGGGTGATACTCGCCACTCGTCCTCCGCTTTCCCCTTGCGTATAATTCCCTCTTCCTGTTTCTTCATTTTCTTATTCGCGTTCTCCTGGTCCACATCCTCTTCCTCCTCCTCTCCTCCTCATCCTCCTCCTGAGTTGCCGGCCGAGCCGGGCCGAGCAAAGCCGGTGGGCTGGCCGAAACGGGGACGACGACGATAACGACGACGATTACGACAACGAACGACGACGACGACGAAAAGGACGACGACGACGACGACGACGACGACGACGACGACGTGTGGACGGCTGGCGCCCTCCCGGGGCGCCCCTCCCGGCCACGAGGACGACGACGACGACGACGACCACGACGACGACGACGACGACGACGACGACGACGACGACGACGACGACTGCAGCGACGGCGACGACGACGACGACGAATGGGTGTTTTCGGGGCCCTCGTGGGCCGTTTTGGCGCCTTCATGGGCCGTCCTGGGGCCTTCTTGGGCCGTCTTGGGGAGCTTGGGCCCGCTGGAGCCCCCTTTGGACCCATCTTGGGCACTTCCGGGGACCTCCCATGGCCCTTGTGGGTCTGTGATGGGAGCCCTTGGGGGGCCTCTTGGGTCCATCCTGGGATGTCTTGGGGCTCTCTTGGGCGATCGTGGGGCCCGGCTCGGCCGTCTTGAAGCTTTCTTGGGGGCCTTTTGGGGCGTCTTGAGGCGATCGCGGGGGCTTTGAAGCCGTCTTGAAAACTGATAAAATCCGAAAGGCGAATACGCTAAAATTGTAAGTTTTACGAAGGGAATGGGACGATGTTTGTGTTTTGAAGGCCCCTTGGAAAGCTTTTTGGGGTGCCTTGGGGGTCTTGTGGGCCGTCTGGAAGCAATTGGAGTCCCTCATGGAGCGCTCTTGTGCTGTCTGGGGCCTCCCTTGAGCCTTTCTGATGACCCTTCTGATCGCTCTGGGTCTGCTGGCAAGGCGTTTGTGGAGACCCAGAAAGCCGGGTGACCTTTTCTAAGGACGTCCAAGGGAGCCCGAGAACCCCAGATCCCGGAGATCCAGTTTTGGGGGGGGTGGGGGGGATGGTTTTTCCCTCCCCCGGGCTTGAAAAAATATAAGAAGAGGATATATATATATATATATATATATATATATATATATATATGTATGTGTGTGTGCAAATATACACACCTATATATATATATATATATATATATATGATCCCTGGAGCCCCATAGCCCTATAGCCCTGTAGCCCTATAGCCCTATGACTTTATAGCCCTATAGCCCTATAGCCCCATGACCCTATAGCCCTTTAGCCTTATAGCCGTATAGCCCTATAGCTCTATATGCCTATAGCCCCATAGCCCTACATCCCTATAGCCTTATAGCAGTATAGCCCTATGATCATATAGCCCTCTAGCCCCATAGCCCTATAGACTCATAGCCCTATGGCCCCATAGCCCCAGAGCCCCAGAGTCCCATATGCCTATAGCCCTACTGCCCTAGAGCCCTAGAGCCCTATAGCCCCATGACCCTATAGCCCTATAGCCTTATAGCCCTATAGCCCTGTAGCCCTGTAGCTTTATATGCCTATAGCCCTATAGCCCCAAAGCCCTATACTCGTATAGTCTTATAGCCCTCTGATCCTATAGTCCCATAGCCCTATAGACTCATAGCCCTATGGCCCTATAGCCCCAGAGCCCCATAGCCCCATATGCCTATAGCCCTACAGCCCTATGGCCCCATAGCCCTATAGCCCTATAGACCTATAGCCCTATGGCGCTATATCCCTATAGTTCCATAGCCCTAGAGCCCCAATGGCCACATAGCCGTACAGCCCCTAAAAGACTTTAATTGGGCTTGCTTTCTGGTATCATGCATCGACATCTACATCTATGCATAACCATGTAACTATATACGTACAGTGGCATATAACTATAACAATACCTATGGACCTCGATAAATGTACATATATGTATACTGTGAATGCCTTACGACCGGCGCCGCCGACCAGGAAGGACGACGACGACGACCACGGCTACAACGACCACGACGATCTGATGGCGTTGCCACAAGCTCGGGACATGGGGCTGGCGGCGGAGGAGGAGAAGGAGGAAGCGGAGGAAAGAGGCGGAGAAGAAGGAAAGGGAGGGGGAGGGGGAGGGGGGGAGGAGGAGGAGGAGGAGGAGGAGGAGGAGGAGGAGGAGGAGGAGGAGGAGGAAGAGGAGAAGGAGGAGGAGGAGGAGGAGGAGGAGGCGATTAGGAGGAGGAGGAGGAGGAGAAGGAGGAGGAGGAGGGGGAGGACGAGGAAGCGGAAGCTGACAGGGAGACCACCCACTTCCCCACAGGGGGAACCGCCCAGAGGGGAGGGAGGGCCGCCGGGCCCCCCGGGGGGTGGCGGTAATCTGTCACGGGACGCCCCCCTCCCTACTCCCCCCCTACTCCCCCCCTTACCCCCCCCATACCCCCCCCGTCAGGGAGGGGAAAAGGGGAGGGAATCGACTTAACTACGACGTTTCTTTTACGACGTTTCTTTTTTCTATTCGTTTCTGAACTTCCTTGGGATTGGCGACGACAACGACGTCGAAGACGACGGCAGCGTCTGACTCACGTCGACAGGGTCGGCGTAGACACTGTATGCGTATATACACATGTCGATATATACATATATATGTGTAAATATACGTATACATATCTAACGATCGATGTAGCTGTATACCTACATAACTACGAAAATATAGTACGTGTGCAAGAAATATATAAATTGAATATGTATACATATCTTAATACCCGCCCCCATATGTACATGTATCTATGTATGTACCTATGTGTATTTAGGTATAGAGGCCTACGTGTGCAAACACACATACATGCATGCATGCATGCATGCATACATGCAAACAAGCGTCTTTACATACGTGCATGCATACATAGCGAAGACTCCAACGGCGAACCGCGACCGCCCCTTGCAACTTGCACGCGCCGATGTGGCCGAGTTGTGTGTCAATGGCTTGGACAAGCTATCGGAACATGTGCTCCCCGAGCCGTTGTGGGAACGTTTGGGGGATTTCCCGGAGGAGGAAGAGGAAGAGAGGGAGGACAATTTAAGAGGAGGAGGAGGAGGAGGAGGAGCAGGAAGCCTATTGAGAGCCTCCTGGATATTCTTGGGGCCTCCTGGGAGCTTCCTGGGGGCCTCTTGAAAGCCTCTTGGGGGCCTCCTTGGACCTCTTGGGGGCGCACCTGCCCCGCACTCAGTTCGGAGCCGTCGCGGGCCGAGGCTCCGACTTTGCCTCCCGCATCGCCCTCGCCGCATTGAAGCTCGCGCGCCAGTGGCAGGCGCCCGTCTTCCTCCTCGTCGTGGACCTGGTGAAGGCCTTTGACAAAGTCATTCGCCAAGTTGAAATGGGTTGGGGCGCCATGCCTCCCAGAGCCCGCCGCGGCCACCCGGAGGCCCTGGGCGCGGTTCTGCGCACAATTCCGATGCTGGCGAAGTACACCGAGGAGCGAGGTCATTTGATTGAACAGTGCAAGGTTAACCTCTCCGCGACAGAGATGGCCTGCACGCTGCACGAGTAGACCTGGTTCAAGCGCCCAGGAGTTCGCCGCGGGTCGGCCTCGCCCACAGGAAGCTGACAGGGATGCAAACTCGGCTCGCTGGTGTCTAACTCAGCGTGCACGCCGCCTTTGGACATGCTCAGCTGGCATCTCGCACAGAAGGGCTTGACCCGTCGGCCCCCCGACGCTCCGGCGGCCTTTTGGGCTGATGTCGATCCGCCCGCCACCCATCAGGACATTGTTGACGCCGCTTTCGTGGGGCTCCACCGAGCCCGAACCCTATTGGCTGTCGTTGATCAGGACGGACACCGAGAGAATTAGAGCAGCCCGCCTAATTCCCCGTCGAGCCGCTTTGCACGAGGATCGCGATCAGTGGTTATGTCTGCTTCGATCCCCAGCCCGGCGGGATAAGATTTTGGATAGCATCGTGTTCGTAGAATCTGGTCTAGATCGCTATCCCCGCCCTCACTCGTCAGCGCCGCCTGTGGGGAGGGCCTTGGGCCATGCATGTTCAATGTGCCACGCGCGACTTCCTACGGAGCGCGCTCTTGCCAGTCACTGCCGAGCCAAGCACGGATACCGCCTTGGCTCAAGCATTAGATTCATGGTTCTGACGTGCGCCCCTCCTGTGGCACGCAAGTCATGACCCCGCTCAGATGTATAGCTCATTTGTCGGATCGTCGTCGCCTTCGTTGTGTTAATTGGTTTGTTTATAATTGTCGCCCCCTCGCTAGCGACGTCTCTTGTCGGCTGGACGAGGGGAACATGCCGCCCCGTGCGAAGGGTGGAGTCAAGGTCACACTCACACGCTCGCCAGAGGGCCCGCTCTCACGAGAAAGGGCAAACGCATCGGCCGTTGCCGGCAGCGTCTCTCCTCTAGTTGTCTTTATCTTCCGCACGTTATACCCGATGTGTGTTGTTACCACGTTGCCGAGTTGTGCATTATGGGAACCTGCCGCTCCCCGCAGCATCGAATATATGCATACACAGCTATATGTGCGCATGCACATATATATACACACATGTGTGTTTGCATTTGTGTGTGGACACACGTAGCCATGAACATGCACGTGGATCTATATATAATGTATATGCATGTCGATAAGCATATATGTATGTACACGCGTATGTGTACCTACGTGTGCATGTACACATACAGTTGGTTACGCATGTGCATATATACATATGTGTGCATATATTTACACATGCACACATACAACAATGCCAAGCATGTTGAGAGAGAGAGAGAGAAGACTGAGGAGGAGGAGGAAGAAGAAGAAGAAGGAGAAGGAGGAAGAAGGCGGAATGAAGGATTCACACATGATAAACGATGATGAGGATGAGGATGAGGAGGAGCAGCAGTACGACAAGGAAGGAAATGGAGTGCAAGGATGGGCAACCTTCCTCCGACATAACGGACAGGGAAGCGGAGGGGAGAGGAGGAAAGGAAGAGGAAGAGGAGTGGAAGGAGGACGAGGAAAAGTAGGAAGAGGATTGTTGTGGATTGTTGGGGTCACAGTTCAGGCAAACATGGTAGCAGATGGCACCAAATGGAGACGAGGAAGGCCCAGTTCGGCGCCATGGGCATCTAAAATTAGGCTGCGGGAGCTTTACATAGAATCGCCCCTACCCCCACCCACGTTTGGACCAGGGGGGGCGCGGGGCTCACCCAGCTGGAGAAGGAGGGACAGGGAGAAAGCAGAAGGAAAGAGGATTGGGACAAGGAGGAGTGATGAGGAATCAGGAAGGGGTATCGGGATGACAACGAGGAAGAGGGTGCAGACGACGGGAGCGGATGAATAAGGAGGTGGAGAAGAAATAAGGAGAAGGAGACGGAGATGGAAGTGGATCAGGAAAGAGGGTGGCGGGGGTGGCGACGAGGAGGATTTATGTTTGGTGTTGTCCGCCAGCACCCCCAGGACAAGATCCGCCCGCTGTGGCGCCATTACTATCAGGGCACCCAGGGCCTCATCTTCGTGGTCGACAGCAATGACCGCGACCGCGCGGAGGACGCGCGCGAGGAGCTCCCCCGCTCCTTCTGGCTCTGGTGCTGCTCCTCCTCCTCCTCCTCCTCCTCCTCCTCCTCCTCCTCCTCCTCCTCCTCATTCTCCTCCTCCTCCTCCTCCTCCTCCTCCTCCTCCTCCTCCTCCTCCCCCTCCTCCTCCTGGCCCCCAAGCTGACGATGACGAGGATGATGATGATGGTGGCGGTGGTGATGATGAAAGATGATGATGATGATGATGATGATGATGATGATGATGATGATGATGATGATGATGATGATGATGATGATGATGATGATGATGATGATGATGATGATGATGATGGTGATGGTGATGGTGATGATGGTGATGATGGTGATGATGGTGATGATGGTGATGATGGTGATGACGATGATGCTGATGCTGATGTTGATGATGATGATGAGGAGGAGGAGGAGGAGGATGGGGATGAGTATGGGGAAGATGATGATGATGATGATGATGATGATGATGATGGTGATGATGATGATGACGATGGTGGTGATGATGAAGATGAAGCTGATGATGATGATGAAGATGATGATGCTGATGATGATGATGATGATGATGATGATGGTGATGCTGATTATTATGATGATTATGATGATGGTGGTGATGATGCTGGTGATGATGCTGGTGATGATGATGATAGTGGTGGTGATGATGATGCTGATGTTGGTGGTGGTGATGATGATGATATTGACGATGATGGTTGTGATGCTGATGCTGATGCTGATGCTGATGCTGATGCTGATGGTGATGGTGATGGTGATGGTGATGGTGGTGCGTGTTGGTTCTTTTTCATCCACTGGAAACCCCGCCCCCCGGGGGCCCAGGGCCAAAGGTCACCAGGAGCACACAGGGTAAATTGAGTGCCACCTCCCCTCCAAGACCCTCCCCAGGGCCTTCCCAGAAGCCCTGGGACCCACGGTAAAGTTCCGGGCGTCCCAGATGGTTTCAAGATTGCTCCAGGGCGGCCTAAGATGTTCTCAAGACGGCTCAAGACTCTCCAAGAGAACCTCCTGGAGGGCCCCGAGCAGCAAAATCGTTCCATCCATGTTTGAAAATGTCTCAGTTTGGCTTTTGTCTTGTTTGTCCAACCAGCGTCCCAGATGGCTCCAAGGGGCCCCCAAGAGCGCCCCAAGGCCGCCGAAGAGCCCACAAGAGGGCACCAAGAAACCAAGGATGGCCCGAACCAAGAGGCGCCCAAGACCGCCCAAAAGTGCATCAAGAGGGCCCCAAGAGGCCCAAAACAGGCCCCCAAAGCGCCCCCCGAGCGGCCCTCCGATCGCCCTCGGCACCGAGGTGGCCCCCAGAGCATCCCGGCGGTCCGGAAGAGACCCTGAGAGTCCCCCAAGAAGTTTCCAAAAAGTTCCCATTATGCCCCCAACAGACGCCCAAGTGGCCCGCATGAGTCCCCCGAGTGGCCCCCGTAGAGACTACAAGATATTCCTTCCACACCTCAAATCGAAGACACTCCATTCCAGAAGGTATACAAACACTAGTATGCAAACGCTCTCCTCTCATTCCTCCTCATCCTCTTTCTCGTTCTCCTCCTCCTCATCCTCATCCTCCTCCTCCTCCTCCTCCTCCTCCTCCTCCTGCCTCCCCCCCTCTCCCTCCCCCAGCCCTCCCTCCTCTCCCCTGCTTCCTCCTCCCTTTTCCCTCCCGCTTTTCCCCTCTCGCAGCCATTTTGGCTCAAGGCCAGGTGTTCCGCCCGCTTTGGGAGCGCCAGACCCGTGACGGTGCGGGGCGCTGCCGCCTCGCTCGCGGCGTGCACAGCGATTGCTGGAGAAAGCCTGGAAAGCGGTTGCGCCCACGCGCGGCCCGCAAAGCCGCCCGTTGCGCAGCCGAAGATTGCGCAGATCGGCTGGTCAGGCGCCTGTCGGCCGAACTCGTCGAGTTGCAGGAGTAGCGGCTGCAGCGGGAGCAGACCGTCGAGACGCTATGCGGAGACCAGTTCGTGGTCGACCGCGTGGCTGCCCTCCTCCCGCGCCTTACAGCGCTCCTCTGCGGCGAGCAGCCGACGTGGCTGCAGAGGCTGCGCGGGAACGTAGCCGTGTATGCGCGGGTCGAGGGCTTGAAGGTGGCGACAGATCGGCCCTCCGAGCTGCGAGCCGCCCAGCGCCAGGAGCGGCTCGAGAGGCCGCCAGGTGTCAGTGCGCGCGGTGGAGGCCTGCGCGCCATGGCTCCGCATTTCGTCTCGGGCGCCGGGTGCTGGCTGCCGCTACCGCCGCTGGAGGGCATGCGGGGCACGTGCGGCGCCGTCGTGTTCTCGGGCGCGGGCGTGGAGCCGCCGCGGGAGGGCCCTACGGGGACCACTGCCCCGCCGACGGCCGCGCACTGCAGCGTGGCTCGGGCCCCTGCGGGGGATCACTGCCCTGCCGCTGCGACCGCCGCCGCCGTCGTTGGGGTCGCGGACGTCGAGCCCCGCGGGCCAGGCGGGGCCGTGGACGACCCCACGCAGGCGAGCGCCGATGGCAGAGGCGCCGAGCCCCCGTCGGTGCAGGCTGACATCGCTGAGGGGGGTCCCGCCCCTTCCGCCGACGCTTCGGTGCCCGCCCTGACCGAGGGCATCGCGGAGTGGCAGCTGCAACTGGAGATCAAGGGGGCCCGTGAGGCCAAGGCGACGCAGGCGGCGGCGCAGGCGGCGCAGGCGGCGGCTGTCGCTACCGCAGCTCACGGTCGTGGTGTTTTTTTTTCTGCTGGCCGATTTGGTGTCGTTCGGAGTGAACGTGCAGCGGGAGCGGCCGCGAGGGCAGACGGCGCGGTCGGCTTCCCGAGCAGGGCGAACGCCGCAGCAGCTGGAGCACAACATGGGCGAGTTGTTCCGTGGCTCCGCGGCGGCCACGGCGGAGACAGCCAGTTCCGCCCCACCCGCGCGTGCTGCGAGTTCGGTTGAGGGAGCGGACTGCAAGCAGATATGAAGTTCGACGTTTCGAGTTGTTTCATGATGTAGCAGGAGGAAGTTGCGTGGAACCCCTCATCATCGTATTCCTGGCCTCCTTCGCGGTCGTCTGCGTGTTCGTCATGTTCGGCTACGAGGTCAGGGGGAGGATTATGTTTGATCACGTTGTGATCGGTCCCATCTCATATCAGTACATGTCCCTTATATTACTTATTTGCTGTCCTTCATTTCCTGCCGCCGTCTCCTCCCTCCACCCTCCTCCGTCTTTTTCCTCCCATTGTCATTCCCCCTCCTTCGTTTTCTTCTTTTCTCCCTCCTCATCATCATCCTCCCTCCTTCCTGCCTCTTCTTCGCCCTCCTCCTCATCATCCTCATCCTTCTCATCCTCCTCCTCATCCTCCTCATCCGCATCCATATCCGCATCCGCATCCTCGTCCTCATCCTCCTCGCCCCATGGCAAGTAGACCTTGAGCACGCGCGAAACGCGCGATGGTTCTAGGTTCTAGCAATGATGATGGTGCTCAGGATGAGGACGAGGATGACGACAATGGTTAAAGGCTGAGGATGAGGAGGGTGATGACGGTTTGACTGCTGATGATGGTGGTGATGGTGGTAATGATGGTGACGATGACGGCGGCCATGATGATGGTGGTGGTGGTGATGATGGAAAAGAAGAGGAGGAGGATGTTCTGTGAAGATGTGAAGATTGCATAGTGTCCGCGCTTCCGCGCGGAGCTTCAAGGAAGCTACGGCGCCTGCGCTGTGTGCACAGGCGTTCGTGGCAGCGGCAGGGGAGGCCGTCATGACGTCGCGTTTCGCCTTGGGAGTATTTGGCGCCACCGTGCTTGTTCTTCTTTGTTCGGCTGTGTGTCTGGTGCATGCCACCAATGTGGATAGTCGGGTGTCGATGGGCGTGCGGTCCTTTCGCGCGGCCTGCACCATGGAGTACGTCGTCAAGTTGGCCGTGTTTCACGTGCGCTTTTTCCGCGTTGCGCCCTTGGAGACCCATGTTGTTTGGCGTTGTTCTCGAGGTCGCTCGGAATTTGCGCATGCTCTGCATAGTTACTCCTCATGACGCTTGTCACCGTGCAGATCATCGCCGCAGAATTCAGAATGATCATGAAGCTAATCCGCATTCCTGGGAGCCAGGACAGGGCCGAAAACCGAGGCGTTACCCGGGCCATTGGTCCCAGATTTGTTGCACGTGTTCAGTGGGTGGCCGAATCCTGGCACGCATTCCTATAATGTGGACCAGCCGCCCCTTCTCACTGGGTCCGCCTCCTCCCTTCTTTCCCGAGCCGTTCCTCCTCCTCCTCCTCCTCCTCCTCCTCCTCCTCCTCCTCCTCCTCATCCAGATCTCCCCCGTGCTCCCCGCTCCTCCCCTCCGTCCTGCCCCCCTCCCCGGTCCTCCTCCTCCTTCTCCTCCTCCTCCTCCTCCTCTTCCTCTTCCTCTTCCTCCTCCTCGTTTTCCTCCTCCTCCTCATCCTCCTCCCTGGGTTCCGACCAGTTTCAAAATCTCCTGGAACGCCTTCCCGACAGCGCACCTGGTCCAGACGGCATCCCGTTTTCTGGCTGGTCGAGGGCCGGCCTTGTTGCTGCGCAATCCCTGTACTCGCTCTACCTCAACATACTCCAGGCTGGCTCCACCCCCTTCACTTTCAACAATGCCATGGCAGTGTTCCTCGCCAAGGGCAACGAGCCCAACGATTCGCAGTTTGTGGTTAGGCCGCCAGAGAAGGCACGCCCGATCTCTTTATCTAACACCGATAACCAAGTCATCTCGTCGGCCCTGCACTCCACGCTTTCGATGGTGTGCCAGCGCGGCGTCCTGGGCCAGCAACGTGGCTTCGTTCGTGGTCGCCAGATGTCCGGAAACATTCTAGATATCGAATATAAGTGATTTCACTGGCTAGCCCAGCAAGATGTGCAGAGAAGTGGGTATATCTTCTTCGACGTTAAGGCTGCGTTCCCGAGCCTGCTCCACCAGGCCCTCTGGTTCACGCTCGGCAAGATGGGTTTCCCCGATTTCCTCCTGTGCGCCCTGAAGGCCATGTACCGCCAAGTGTTCGTTTCGGTCGCTTTCAGAGACAACCTGAAGCACGGGTTTCTGCTGAGTCGGGAAGTCAAACAAGGTTGTCCGATGTCGGGGTCCCTGTTCGCCTTCGTCTACGACCCTATCTTTCGGCTGCTGGCGGCCAAGCTTCCCCGTCCCCTTCACGAAGTTGGCGCGTGTGCAGATGATTGCCTTCTCGCTAGCAGTAACCTTCATGAGGCCTATTCGATCGCCATCGACATTTGGGTGCTCGCGGGGGCCGGCTTCGGGCTTCACTTAAACATCCAGAAAACCGTCGTCGTGCTCATGGGAAGGTTCTCCGTGGCCGATTTTTCAGAGCCTGTATCAAGCATCTCGGCAGTTTCGCTCGAGGGCTGCAGGTTGCCACTCATGCTCGGCACCTGGGCGCGATGCTCGGCCTCGACTGCCAAGGGGAGAGCTGGAAGCTCCCGACTAGCAAGTACATCGCCAGGACGCATGGAGTGCAAAGCCTGCACCTGGGGTTGGTTGTGTGTATCCGACTTGGGATTCGTGGGGCAGCTCATTCCTCCCCCCGTCGAGCTTCTGAGAACCGATAGAGATATGATCTAGGTCGTCGTTCGGGGCCCATTCAACGCCATCCCCTTAGACACCATTCAGAACCTGAAGTATTTAGGATTCCCGATAGAGGCCGCCCAGGTCAGGCTCATCAGTCAAGCTGCTCGCTTCAGGGTTGTTGAGCGAGTACCCGCATTCCTCGACGCGGAGACTCTGCTCACGAGTTTCAAGGCCTCCGACGACTGTTGTGTTGCATGGCGTTACCATCCCGCTTGGAAAAGCAGTATCACGCGCAGCCCGATCGAGAATGACCGTTTCTTGTGTGCTATCCCGGCTGTCCCTCGTGAGGTCCCAAAGGTCCAGGCTGCGGTTATGAAGTACCTCCAGAATATATTCTTGAAGGATTCCAGAGGCATGCTGAAGGCTCGTCTAATGAAATATGATCCCGCCGCGACGCCCCTAGATATAGAAAACACGTTATTCAGTTTTTGGAGGCTCGCGGAAGGTCCTTGCTTGCACCCTTTCCATCCTCCTCAAGACCCTGTATAATAGTTCGAATTGCAGTGGTTGTTTTCGGGGGCCCACTCATGCGTGCATCGGATGCGGGTGCCTTGAAGGGGACACTATGCGTCACGTGCTCGATTGCCCGAGGCCTTCCGAAGTCAGTCTCCACCTCCCCCACTTCCAGATGATTTCCTGTATGCTAGTGTTGCCGACAAACTCTCCGTTCACAAATTGTATTTTATTCCCACGGAGGCCTTGTGTAGTGCTGTTCTGTATTGTGATCTCGTTTTCAGCTCGTATCACCATTTGAAACATCGATCCAGTGTAGTACCCGTTCCAGTATTGCATGCTTGTGCTCGCGCCTGTATATTACAGCTCGTGCGGCGTCAGCCTGACTGGGCAGGCGCTTTCGGCCAGGTCCAGGGGTGCCCCGACCCAGGGCGCTTGCCTCGACGATCGCACGTCGAGCTTCTTGGCCCTGCAGGCCCGCGCCCGCCCGCCGCCAGGACAGGAGGATGACCCCTTTGCCCTTGTCTCGCCCCTCTCTTGTCCGCCTGCCCTCTTCTCGCCCCTTCCCAGTGAGTGCGCTCCTCCTCCTCCTCCCCCCCCCCTCCCCCCGAGCTCCCCCCGAGGCCCAAAGGCCCCCTCCTCCGACTCCTTCGCTGGAGGACGGATTGGACTGCAGGAGTTGGCTGAGAAGTGCCGGTGTGTGGTCCTAGCTGCGCGGGCTCGGGCGCAGCGCGCGCGGGGGCACGCAGGAAGCGGCGGCGGCGCGCGGGCATGACGGAGGGGTTCCCGCAGGAATTCCATCCCCCCCAGTCGCGATGGCCCGAAGGCCCGCGGGCGGAGGCGCACGCGACGGAAGGCGCTGTGGTCTGAGGGCCGGACTTGGCCAAACAGCCCTCGAGCAAACAGCCCATTATTCCTCCTCTGGTGCGAAGAGCTCGGTGGAGATCCTGCCAAACACGCGGGCGTTGCGCACTCTCTCCCTCCTCTGCACCTGGACCTCGCTCGCCGCCCCTCCCTCCCCCGCCTTTCCTGGTTCATCGCTCCCCGTCCGCCTCCTCGCTCCTCCTGCTGGCCCTCCTCATGCTCTATTCCCGCTCCTCCTCCTCCTCCTCCTCCTCCTCCTCCTCCTCCTCCTCCTCCTCCTCCTCCTCCTCCTCCTCCTCCTCCTCCTCCTCCTCCTCCCTCCTCCTCCTCCTCCTCCTCCTCCTCCTCCTCCCTCCTCCCCTCCTCCTCCTCCTCCTCCTCCTCCCTCCTCCTCCTCCTCCTCCTCCTCCTCCTCCTCCTCCTCCTCCTCCTCCCCCGCCGTCCTTCTACGTCCTAGTCCCCGCAAGGAGCTCATGAAGATGCTGAACGAGGACGAGATGCGCGACGCCGTGCTGCTCGTCTTCGCGAACAAGCAGGACCTCCCGAATGCGATGCCAGCGGCAGAGGTGACCGAGAAGCTCGGTCTGCCTCTCGGGCGTGTTCGGAGGAGGAAGCAGGAGGGACGGAGAGGGAGGGCGCTACGAAAGGAGGATCAGAGGAGGACCGATGTCGCTGGCGTTTTTTTTAGTTGTTGGGCGCTTCGGTTCACTTCGAAATTCTGGTCAGAACGCAATACAGGAGAGGACTAGGGAGGTGTGGTTTCAGTATATGCTGGGTTCCCAGAGAAAAAGGGGGCGAAGGAGGATATGAAGGAGCCAGACATTGGAAATGTGGCCGGCTCCCAAAATGTTGGATCAAACGTATTGACGTATCGTTTTGTTCCTTCCGGCTTTGCGCCTCCGCTGGTGGACCCGCCGCCGTTTTATTTCGCCAGTGTTGGCGGGTAGCCGTCCTAATGATGGCTGCGCGGCCGGGACATAGTTTTGCCTCATTGGTGGTGCGTTCGGTACGATCGAAGCGGGACGAAAACAATGGTGACAAAGACCAGCAGCAGTTCCTGCCCAGGTTGAGCATGATTCGTTGTCGGTGTCGCCGCGGGCTTTGTCCATTTGGGACAGATGTCGCCTGCTCAATAACAGCCGCTCTCGGGTTTGAGCAACACTCGTTGTTGGACATCCTCCCCATGTTTCCGTTCCTGTTTCGGATGTGCCAATGCGCGCCGTCGTCATCAGCACAATCTCGTGGCATTTTCCGCCGAATTGTCTGGGCTCCGGCTGGCACTTGCTGTGTTCGCCACCTTGTAGGAGACAGGCGATCTCTTTAAGCTCGGAATCCAAATCTTCAGGCGTAATGTGTGCTACAAGTATCTGCATTGAGTGAGGCTCCATCGGCAGGGACTGAAGAGATGTGCGTGGAGGCGGCCTTTGCGGTCAAACCGGGTCCAAATACGCAGCGCGGCTTGCATACACTGATAGTCCAGCACACCCTGCGGAGGGCGGATTGGCGCCGACAAAATACATAAACAAATTCATTGCACAGCATGTCACATCGGGAGTGGGCACATTCTGTCTGCCCCACGCTGCCAGACCGAGGCGATGGTTCAGGCTGCCTCTATTGTTCAGACAGTCGGGTCGGACGTAAGGGGGGGATTGGAGAAGGGGGGGGTGACGAAATCTGCTGCATGCAGCTGGTCTCAGCCCCACCACCCGGGCGCCGTCTTGGATACATTGGTCCCTCTGGCGCCAGGAGGTGCAGGAGAAATCAGCTCCGCAAGCTACTTCGCTAACCCCCCTTTAGCTAGCCCCGGTTTCGTCCGACCCAAGACAGGGCAAAGCATATGGGGCGGGAATCCGCCCGAACCTTGTTTTGCCTCACTGGCGGCGCACGCCGTCGCCACCGCCATCACGCCATCACCGCAGAGTACCCGTGCAGGCACTGTCACAGGAACGGCGCGGCGCGCCACGGCACACCAGAGGGGTGCCCGAGGGTTGAGCCTAGGGCCTGGCGCCGTGACCTCCCCGAGCTGCTGGTACAGCGAGAGGGTGGCGGGGGCCAGGGGGCCCGAGGACACGTGAGGAGGGGGATGAACGGGGGGGGAAGGAAGAGAAGAGGAGGAGGAGGAGGAGAAATGTGAAGAGGGGGAGGGGAAGGAGGTAAAGAGAAGGGCGAGGAGAGGGAAGGAGCCCAGGGAGAGTGGGAGAACAGGGACAAAGACGGGCGAAAGGGGGGCGGAGGTAGGGAGGAGGAGCATAAGGATTGGATGGGAGAGGGAGGAGGGCAGGAGGATGGGGGGATGAGGAGAAGGGATGGGCCGTCAGAGCAGGAAGAGGAAGAAGAGGGCGGGGGGGAAAGAGGGTTGCGGCGGACAAGGATAAGGCCGTTCGTCATAATCAGCGCAGCATCATCATGATCGCCATTAACAGTATCACCATCAGCATCAGCATAGTCATCATCAGCATCATCAGCATCACCAGAATCACCACCATCATCAGCATCATCAGCATCGCCATCGCCATCGCCATCGCCATCATCATCACCAGCAGCAACGTCCGTAACAACTTTGGCTCAGGGCCAAGATGGCGATTCAACCACTGCCTAAGCCGGGTAGGTTCCCAACCAGCAGCTTGTTGCATCGGTACGGTTCCCAGTATTCCATATCCAAGTCTTGGTCTGCCCCAGGCACTACATATCCAAGTCTTGGTTCGCCCCAGGCATTTCCATATCCAAGTCCTGGCCCACCCCAGGCACATCTGGTTACAAGACCTGGTCAGCCCAAGGCACGCTCAACGCTCTGGCAGAAGATGGTTTCCATTCTCGCGCAATTGCTCTCGTGCGCGTCGGTGCCCAGCATACTCGTGCCACAGTCCTTCTTCGCGAGCAGCCAGGTCACTTCGTTCCCCTGCGGCAGCGTTTTCGGCAACATGGAAGCATTCCAAGCACGACTCCGCAGTTCTTCTACATGGCGCCCAGCAGTGACCGCAGCTCATCCTCCTCGTCTACCACGCCGTCCAGGCGTCCAGAACGTGGCGACACTATCAACTCGAGGAACGACCGTGGCTTCAAACATCAAGCAGCGCGCGCACAATCTGACGATCGTGAACGCCCTCGCAGAGAACACCGTCGAGACGCTCGTGATCGCGTCCCCCCAGGACCCGAACGTCAACCCCGCCCTGAACCTACACCGACCCGTCGTGCAGCACGCAGTCGAGCGGGAGCCGCGCCACGTTCTGCCCCATTACGTTTCGTTGCAGAACCGGCGGGAGGGCCCGCCACCGCCGCCAAAGGCGAGGATGCCCTCATGCGAGAGGACCCATGGGCTGGCCCGCGAACAGGGCCACAGCCATTCCTTACAGAGGCAGAATTGGCGCATTTCGGCGGGTGGAAGCAGAAGTGGCCACTCCCCCAGGTACCCCAGTGGCAGGTGCAGGCACAACACCAGCCACAACAGTGGCAGCAACTGGACCAGCGGCGAATGCACAGCCACACCGGCTGACCAGCGCACATTCGAGGAGCGATTCTCAGATCTCTTCGCAGCGCAGATGGAAACGGCATCCACTCGTCGTCAGGCAGAACCAGCGGCCACCGGCGAACTGCAGCTCGCATTGGGCATGGTCAGACAGCAAAGGACATGCATCGACGGCATCGATACCAGCAGTCGGTGAATCCCCCAGCACACCTACATCGCCGAGCAGGAGCAGCAGCAGACGCACACAGACGATGAGCGCATGCAGGCGGCCCTCGCCATGGCTGCGGCTACGCCCCCTGCTCTCGACATGGCGGCGCTCACGGTCTGGGACCGACCCCCAGACCCACATCTTTACACCATCGGGCCCCCCATCCGCCATCCAGCCGTCACTAGTCAAGAGGGCGCCCGAGCCCTGGCTCAACGCAACTGGGGTCTCCACCAACGACGTGGACCTCATCGGAGACGTCCCAGCAAGACGCTTCTTCCTCAGAGTACTTGGAAGGCCAGCTGCGTCATCGCGGAACTTGCCACTGGCTCGCAATCTCAGAAGGTGGAGGGCAGTGACGTGCCTTGCCTGCTCTCAACACGTCGGGGGCCATCAGGCCACTCTATCTCAGCGCAGGTAAATCGCCGACGACATCTCGACGAGAGCTTCAAACAAAAGACTGGTTCGTATGTTTCTGACAGAAATGGACAGCACCACTTTCGCAAAGTAGGAGATGGGGGCACCATCGCGCGCAGTTCAGTTCCTCTGGTGGTTCTCGACGTTGAAGCGAACGCCGATGCGCCCGCTCAACTCCGCTGGGATCTCGGAGTGGCACAGCAGATGGGCATTTAGAAAGCAGCCATCAGCGAAGGAGTTCGGCGGCCTTTCTGGCCGCAGACACATCGTGATCGTCGATGCAGCATTCGCTGGAGCCTATGGCCTCATTCGCCTTCGCCTCACGGCGGCCACGTTGTCTCCTGGAACGCCAGGGGCCTCTGTTGCTACTAGGACAGGAAGCGGCACAGCAAATCACGCGGACTGGAGGGATTTATCACGTTGGCGCCGCAGGAGGCCCACGGCGTTCGCAAACAACCCGAGGCGCCCATCGCGCCCTCACCGCGCCGCGACAATCACACGGTCTACAGTTCACGAGCAGACGAAGCGCGAGAAGAAGGGGCCGAATGTCTCGCACACCTGCCTAAGACCACACTGCAGACCAACCCCCGCTGATCGCAATTGAGCAGCTCGCACCTGGGAGGGCGGCTACGCTCCAGGCCACGCAAACACCCCAGGTGCGCAGCACAGCATTCACGAACGTCTACAAGCACAACATCACGGACAACGACAAGCGCATCATCAGCAACAATTTGCAGCATTTGGCCAACGAGCAATCGTAACACGTTGGGGAGAAGTTTCGTTGCGTCGGGCGATTTCAATATTCGAGATGGTGCCCCGCCATCGCACGGTCAGTTCCCCCCCGAGCGACTGCTTCTTCTCGCGCAGCGCACGTGCCAACCGTTGGAGGTAGTCTGGCGTCAGCTTTTCGAACAGGCGATCAGCCTCGATGTTCCAGCGCACTTCAGCAGACGACAATAGGCGGCATCGGCCTTAGATCGGACCTTCCCCAGTACGCCTGGGCATTCTGCGATCATCACTGGCATGCATCACTCTGTGGCAGCTGATACAACGGAGATGATTCAGCCTCGATTGGGCGACCACTCCATCGCCCGCGTCTCGCGCCGCACAGTGGTTGACGCAGCGGGGGGGCCGCAGCGCACCCCAGAGGTTGCACAGCAGAGGTCGAGGGCGGCGCGAGCAGCGCAGGCAGCGCGGCGGGGACGAGATCTCGCCGCTGCCGGCGGTCACGCCCACTAGATACGTTCCGCCCGCAGGCGGGCTCACTCTTGGAAGCTCGCTCAAGGGCAGCAGGATAGCCCCAGTAGGCACTCGGCCAGAACATGCCCCCGAGGCATCCCCCCCCCCGCCCCCCACCCCGCCCCCCTTTCAATGGCGGCGCAGGCCCTGACCGACTTCTAGGGCAAGGTCTTCTAGCATGCCCTGGCTGACAACGGCGCCATCGAGGCGCACCTGGACCAGGTGCGCCAGGCAGCCCCAGAGACCCCTCCACCGATCCTCAGCATAGAGACCTCCAAGCCACCCTGGAGCGCGTTCGGCACTCACCCACCCCTGGCCCCGACAGCCCCCCATACATGGCGCGGGCGGTTTCAGAGGCCCACCACTCGGTCCTCCACGACCCCGTGACGCGCCTGCTCTCAGGCGCCCACGTTCCCTTCTGCGCCCCCCCCCGACGGGCGACGGGGCTCTCGACGCGCATGAGCGCATTTAGAAGCCATCTCGGATTAGGCCGCCGTCGCTCCGCAATGCTGATTCTAAGAATTCAGGCGCCGCAGCGAACCACGCAACCAGGGCCCTGGTCCAGACCAGGACCCACGTGGCCCAGCAAGGTTCTGTCCCCGGCCGCAATTTTGTCGGGAACACAATTCGACTAGACAGTGCCTCGCGCCGATTGTCTGTCCTGCCGACTGCCGATGAGCACTCGCCAGTGTTCGTGGCATTCGATCTAGCAGCTGCGTTCCCACGCTTGGGCCATGACTGACCATGGTCGGTTTGAGCTCGCTCGGGCTTACCTGCACGCTACTTGAAGTTCATTGCCTCGTTGTTCTGGGCCCCTCTGAGTTTTGCAACGGTTCAGGGCTCGCAGCAATTCACGTTTTACCTCCAACTGAGAGCAATGTAGGGTTGCCCACTGTCAGGTTCGTTTTGGGTCCTGGCAATGGACATCATCCCAAGGCGTCTGGAAGAGCAAGCGGCCGTCCCAAATCTTGGCGAGTTTCGGTGCGCGGTTGGGGGGGTGCGCGGCTGACACAAGCTTTGCTCAACCCAGATTGCAGGACCTCACGAGAACCTTCCCGGTGTTTCGGAAGGCCGAATTGCTAGGGAAGTTCAAGCCGCAGACGGTCAAGACCGTCATAGTACCCCTAAAAATTGAGCTTTCTGACGCAGCCATAACGCGAATTCATAGCTCCCTTAGGTCCCACATCCCTGCCTGGCAAGATGTCAAGATCGCGCATGTTGCGAAGTACCTTGGGCCCCAATTTGATTCATGGGCCCCGGAGACGTAAGTCTGGAAAGATGCGGTCGCCAAATGGTGGTCGAGATCCGTCGATATCCCATAAGCTGACGCCCCCACCAGCGTAGGCCTTATCCTCTACAACAGCGCTGCTCTGTCCACGCTGAGTTGCTTAGCTCAGCTCTCTAGGAGAAGTTTGCTATCCACCAGGTCCTTGGGCTTCCTAGCACATCTCGCAAGGCAAACGTTTTTAGTTTTCTGGCCACGGGCTCGTCTCTGCCTCATCGGCGCTCCTCGTGGGGGCGGCAAGCATGTGGCGCTACTCCCCATTACTGACTAGCGTGCTGTGCTCGACCAGTGGCTAGAAACGGCGGCGCAGACGCTCCCAGTGGTCGCCTGGACCCGAGGAGAGTGCAGTGCCCCCTGCGGGGCACACAGGCAGGGCATAGCGCGGCATCCAAATCCAGACATGGCGAGCTGCACAGGCTGCGGGCAGAATGAAGGCGGCAGCAGCAAACGCAACTGCCAAGAACCCCGAGCTGCAGAGAGCATTCGCCACCTTCTTGCGCGCCACTCTTTATCCTAACAAACTCGACGTCACTCTCACCAAACGCCTCCACGCTTGGGGGCCCCTTGCTTCATTGACCGGGACGGTGGGCGAGCGGTGGGGGGAGTGCCTCACGACAAATGAGGACATTCAAGCCCGCCTGGCAGTGGTCAATCCTTAAGACCCTAGCTGGCGGATGGACGACGAGCCATCGTATGCATGTATGCGGGGTAGTAGACTGCCATTTTGGCTGCACGCAGTCCGACTCAATGTCTCACTACCTCACCTGTCCCGTGCTGCGCTCCCTCCTTGGCCTCCCATCCAATCCGCTCACCTTTCCCGGCATCGGAGCCGGAAACGATTACGGCCGTGCGAGCTGCCCGTTCTCGCGTGCTGGCGCGCTGAGATTTGCCGCGCTCGCTTTCCGTACGTACCATCAGGCGAAAGTTGCGGTGACCCATGGGGACCAGCTGACGCCTGCCCAACAGCGAGCCGCCATTGCCGCAACCCTGCACGCCACTGATAACTCAGCAGCAGGCTTTGCTACGAACTGGCCCGCCTCAGCTACGGTCGAGCATCAGCAGCATCACCATCACCACCATCAACAATATCATCACATGCATCGTCATCGCCGTCATCATGATCGTCATCATCGCCATCAGCATCGAACATCTTCATCATCAGTATCACCCTCATCGTCAGCCGCATAAGCACCGACATCATCACCACCACGATGACCATCATCGTCATCATCATCGCCATCAGTATCACCTACAGCAGCATCACCATACACATCGTCATCACCGCCATCATCCTCAACAGCCTCGTCTGCAGCAGCATCATCATCAGTTAAGCATCCGCATCATCATCATGTCACCACCATCGTCATCATTACACTCAGCATATTCGTCATCACCAATCGGCATCATCGTCACCACCAGCACCTGCGTCAGCAGTATCATCATCACCATGATCATCACTACCACGATCACCATCATCGTCATCGTCAACATCATCAGCATCGTCAGCATTGCAATTAGCAACACCACCATCTGTATCGCCGCACTCGCATCATCATGAACAGCACAAGAAGCATCAGCATCAACATCCTGCCCCCACTCCCAGTACCATCATCAGCAGCAGCAATGTCGCCGGCACCACCGCCATCGCCATCATCATCAACACCGTGATCACCACCATCCTCCTCACCAGTAGAATCAAGATGATCACCATCAGCAGCATCCGCATCATCCTCATCCTCCCCCTCCGCATCCTCCTCCTGCCCCGGTGGATGTCCCGCCGCAGGCCCGACGCTCGACCGTCTGGCTGGCCGCCACGGCACAGCTCCAGAGCTGCTCCGCGGGCGGCGTCCCCAGGGCTGGAGGCCCGGGCTGAGAGCCAGGGGAGGGCCGGGGCTGGTGAGGCCTCGGGCTGCGAACAGGCAGACCCCCCCCAGGCAGCCCCAGTTGGCCTGAACAGGCTCTCCGGATAACCGGGAGCACCATCACGGTGCACTTCCACTTCTTCGTGTTGGTACATATCCGTTTGTTCAGCTTCATCTTTCCCTTTTTCACCATCATCTTTCGCGCCCTCCCTCTCCTCCTCATCATCCTTGTTCCCCGTCCTCCTCTTGACCCTCCTCGCCGACACCCCCCCCGACGGGTGGCCAAGGCCTGCACAACATGCGCAACCGCCAGTGGTTCATCCAGTCGGCCTGCGCCACCACCGGCGACGGTCTCTACGAGGGCCTTGACTGGATGTCGCGGACGCTCTCCTCCAAGAAGTGAGGGCCAAGGCAGTTGAGACCGCGAGGATCGTGATATTCGACCTATTCCTACTCTGGCTCATCCGCGTTCTCCTCCTCCAGCGCTCGCCCCACGTGATCGCCCTTCTCCTCCGTCTCTTTCTTTTCTGCCAAGCATCCTCCTGGTCCACCTTCCATCCTCCTCCCTACGCTCCCCTCCTTCTCTCTATCCTCGGTCCTCCTCCGTCTCTCACCTCCTCCCCCTCCTGAGTCACTCCTCATGTTTCTCCTCCTCACCCTCTCCGTTTCCATTCTGGACCCTCCTCTTCCTCCGCCTTCCACTTTCCCACCCTCCTGATCACCCCTCCCCATCCGCTTGCTCCTCCTCCAGCTTCCCCTCCTCCTCCCTCCTCCCTCCTCCTCCTCCTCCTCCTCCTCCTCCTCCTCCTCCTCCTCCTCCTCCTCCTCATCCTCCTCCGCCTCTTTGTCCCTGGCGTCTGGCTCTTCGCCGCCAGCAAGTTTTGCTCCGCCCTGCCGCAGGGGCGCCGCGAGAGTCTGTGTAGCTCTGCCCGCGAGGCGGAGACGGGCCGGCCGCGCGTCAGCTGCCAATAATTCGACGCGTCTGACAAATTCATATCTCCTTCTCCTCCGTCCTCCGTCATCCGCCTGCTCCCTCCTGATATGCCTCTCCTCCCTCGTGCTGCTCCTCATCCAGTCCTCCGTCTCCCTTTTCTCCTCCTCCTCCTCCTCCTCCTCCTCCTCCTCCTCCTCCTCCTCCTCCTCCTCCTCCTCCATGTTTCATGACCTTCGCTCCCTGCACCCGTCTTCCCTAATGCTGATGATGTTTCTCCTCCTCCTCCTCCTCCTCCTCCTCCTCCTTCGCCTCTTGACGTCTTCATATGCAAGTGGCTTACGCCACCCGAGGAACCCCAGAACAAGGGTGAGGTAGGAGCTGCAGTGGCTCCATTTCCTGAGTGTGCAAGGGCTGAGTCGTCGTTGGCACCAGGTCGGCGCCTTTGGAAGGTGTGTGTGAGGCATCCTGGTGGTAGTGGCGGCCACCTTGGGGGAGAGACACCCAGCGTTTGTAGATCTCGCGCTCTTTCGCTATATCTCTCTCTCTCTCTCTTGTGCCTTTTTAGGAGCATGTTTGGACGTCGCTTGGCTAGTCGTGCGAGCTTGGGCTGTTGTGGGGCTTTCTCGGACCGTCATGGATTGTTGGCTGTGCTTATGTGCTATCGATGTGTATGTACATTACTACCTACCTTCCGACCTACCTCCATACATACAGACAGACATATGTAGTGGGGTGGCAAGCCGTCTTGGCACAGGGGGGCGTCTTGGGCCATTTCGGCTTCGCGGGGCCCCGACAAGGGCAGAATGCGAAACACGCTTCCTAACACATAGTGAGCATCAGTGGCCTTCCCGTCTTGAACCCTTCCTGGGAGGGGGGCAGCCAACCATCTCACACGGCTCTCCACCCCAAGCAGGCGGGGGCCGGCATGTTGGCATGTTGTTCGTTATGTGAGTCATGAGCGGATATTACCGCCGTGCCATTGGGGCTTGTTCTGCAGGGCTTGCGGCATAGAGGCGGTTGGGCCGACGGTGCACGTGTTTACAAGTGTGATGATGTCTCCATTGTTTGCTACATATCACCAGCGTGGTTGACGGTTTTGCTGTCTGATGCTGCGCAGTTGCATGCATTGCTTGCTATGAGTGGTGACCCGTTTGGCATATCAGGTATGTGCGTTGGCCGCATGTCTAATGTTAACGAAGTATGGTTGCATACCTGGGTTGGCGTAGTGGTATGGTTTCATCACGCTCGCAGCAAATCCTTACTTAGTTTGATTCGCGGATGCTTGTATGGGCCTCGCAGTGTGATCATTATTGTTCGGCGTTGGCGAGGGCTCTGTTTTGCTTGGTGTTTCACGGGGGCTTCGTCGTCTGCATGTTGGTGGTCGCGGATGTAATGCTCGTCGTGTTTGACCAGCCATGCTTGCGCGGCATATTCAGCGCAGAAGCAAAGCATGGTTGATGATCCTCCCTTCTCCCCGCCCGTCTCTTTCATATCTTCCTCTCTTCCCTCTACTTCCATCATGCCCCCCCTTCCAATACTACTCTCCCGTAACCTCTTCTCACTATCCTTCCGCCCTCCCTCTCCTCATTTTCCTCCCCAGAATCCCCGCATCCAACATGCTTGGACAGAAGAAAACGTGCGAAATCCAACGGAACTCTGTTGCAACTCGGGAGCATGCTCCTCAGCCTCGGGGGACTGGGCGACGAAACATGTCAGCAAACTGGAACGAAATTCACCCGAGCCCTGAGAGAACGATACGCCCGCACAGACGTTAGGGGAGGGTAAGGGGGCTCTGACGCTGTCACATTTCGACTGGGCCCAAGAAGCACACATACGGGGGGGGCGTTTTCTTGGAGGCCGTGTGAAACGCCCCCTAGTAGTTTTCACGATTTCACTCAGAAAACACCTGTCGGCCTTGGGGCAGTGAGAACACTTCCGGGAGCCTGGGGTGGCCGTGAGTGAAGTGTGCAGTGTAGCCATGCGGAGAGGCTCTATGCACGCGGGGGGCCCTGCCATGAGTGGCAGGACCTGCACTGAGGGCCGCAGCGAGAGCGAGCGAGTAGGGGAGGCCAGCGGAACGAGGTGGAGGGACCCTAGGGGCCCAAGCTGCGTGGGCGGGGTGCTCAAGCCAGGTCCCCATCCCAGCACTGATGATGATGATGATGATGATGATGATGATGATGATGATGATGATGATGATGATGATGATGATGATGATGATGATGATGATGATGATGATGATGATGATGATGATGATGATGATGCTCTGCCAAAAGGCGAGGAGAGAGTGAGTAGTCACGCCACTAACGCCAATACCGCCGTAAGTGTGCCGCCAACGCCTGCCTCAACTACCACTGTTACGCCGCAGCCTCTCGCGACGCTCACCTTGGAGGTGTGCTGGCCCGTCCTGTCTCGAATCGCCGCGCACCGAGTCCGTGACAATCATCAGCTATTCGGCAGCCTTCGCCGCCCCCATGGAGGCGTGCCGGCCTATCCTGCCGGGAATCGCCGCAAACCGAGTCCGTGACATGTTTCATCTTGTTGTTCAGTTTCTCGTTGCTCGCATCGGGGCGTGCCGGCCTATCTTGACTCGAGTCACCCCGCACTCACATTGGAGGTGCATTGGCCTTTCCTGCCGCGAGTCGCCACCCACCTAGTCCGTGACAAACACCATTATGTTCTGCAGCCCGCGCCGGCATCATGGGGTGTGCCGACCTATCTTGCGAGAATCACGCGCACCGAGTCCATGACAGGCTCGATGCTGTTATGAAGCATCTCGCCGCACTCATGGAGGTACACCGCTTTGCCGCGAATGGCCGCGTACCGAGCCTGTGGCATCAGCCGTGCCGTTCTGCAGCCCTTCGTCGCCCTCCTCTGGTGTCAAAGGCACGCCGATTCTTCATCGTGTCCAGCGTTTGAGATACCACGGCACTCACCATTACGGAGCCGTGCACCGTAAGTTGGTTTGCAAAGTGGACGAACATCGCGTCTGTGAGCAGCACGACGGCGAAGTCCACTGACGCACCCGACCAGGCTAGCATTACCCGGCACTCACCCGACCGACGACGCGCTCCACCGCTGGCGAGCAGCCCCAAGACTTACCCAGCACGGCATCGCGCTTCTCCGCCACCACCTCAGCCACTCCAGCTGGGGGCGCCCAGGCTCAGTGCCGTCCGAGGCGAGCCTGAGGCACGCACGCAGCTGCATCCGCGCTGCACGGGTACTACTCGCCGACGGTAGACCCCCACAGCGAGCAGCGCCTAGCGGAGCGCCTCTCGGAGATCTGCGAGGGCGCACCCAGCAACCACCCACCCAGCCGGCACCAGTCATCGCCCCACCACTTTGCGACCAGCAAACGACTCAACATCCAACCGTACCGCGATTGATCGAAACCCAGCCTTGTTGGACCACGCCACCATGCAGAACCCTGGCAGCGACGGGCATTCTGGCGAGCAACCCGTTTGTGTGCACAACGACGATTGCAAGGAGCCCCGCGCCCAGCAGCACAATGGGGAGGAGTTGCACGACTCTGATATCTAAGAGTGGGACTACCGCCGAGCAGCCCGTCTGGGAGCAGTACGACAGCGTCAAGCAGTGTGGAAGATAAGCGTTGCCGTCGGCCTCCACGTTGGCCTCGCTCTAGATGGATTGTCCTTGCTCACTCCCCGGGACCTACGTGTAGTGAGAGGTTTTGGCAAATATCGTCCGCTAGCGGCCAAGCTTAAGCCACAAAACATGGATTTGGGAAATACACTCGCCTCGTAACTGAAGCCAGCTTCGCCTCGGAGACTGACTGGTGTTTACGAGGACAGGGTGGCGACAGCACAAGGTTGCCTCAGATACCCAGAAGCGATCGTGACCAGAGTTTCGGCCAAATTCGACGCATGGCTTCGTGACAAATTCGTGTCCAGTGCTTGGCCCACGGAGAAAATAGATCGCACCACATTCGCCGATTCTGCACAGTGTGGTGGCATCCGGCTTCAACGGGCCGTCCGCCAGCACGAGAGGGGACGTTCGATATTCAATGTCATCCACAAAACAGCGCGACGTCCAGCAGCACGCGGGGGTCAGCAGCACGACCCTGGCATCCAGGAGTGGAACAAGCAGTGCGGGCAGCAGCACGGCTGTGAGCAACACGACCCCTTCCAGCCGCAAGACGCACGGCATCATAATCGGAACAGCAGCGCGACTCTGGCTCGACAGCGATCGACTCCAGCCCCGACTCCAAACCCGTCCGCTCCAGTTCCTACCCCAACTCCAGCCCAGCCCCCACCCCGAGCCGCAGCACCGCCGACTCGGCTCGATTACACCACCACCGACCCATCGACTGCCAAAGAACAGCCGATCGACTGCACCGTCATGTGTTCCAACTGTTGCGGCACCACCTCTGGCACTTGCGATGGTGGCTCCAGCTTCGACCCCGTCTCCGACTCCGGCTCTTTTCGCTTCTTACCCCCACGCCAACCCCG